AACAAGACAAGGATGCTCACTGTTGCCTCTGTTACTGAATGTAGTGCCTATATAGAGAAATTAGATAAGAAAAGAAATAAAAGTCATAAAACTCAGAAAAGAATTAAAATCATCTCCATTTATAGATGACGTGAACTTAAAAGAACCAAAGCCAACTGTTCCATGGATAATTGAATTCAGCAAAATTTCAGGATACAAAATCAACACTAAAAAGTTACTGTGTTTCTGAACACTGACCTAAAAAGGAAATTAAGGAAACAATCCCATTTACCATTACATTAAAAAGTTATCTAGGAATACACTTACCCTAGAAGGTGAAAGGCTTGTTGTACATTGGAAACTGCAAAACTGGCAAAATAGATTGAATAACATACAAATAAATGGAAAACATTCCATGCTTTTCAGTTGATAGATTTAATATTGTTAGAATATTCATCCTATCTAAAGTAATCTACAAATTTAATTTTTCAGAAATAGAAAAAATATCTTAAAATTCATATGAAGGGACCCCAAGTAGTCAAAACAACTTTGAAAAAGAAAAAAGTTGGATGCTCCACACTCTGTGATTTCAAAAAGTGCTACAAAGCAACAAAGTTTAGTGTGTGATTCTGACATAAAGATAGATATATAAGCTAATGGAACACAATAGAGTGCCCAAAATTACACCCTTGCATAAATGGCCAAATGATTCTAACAGGGCACCAAGACCACGACTGGGGAAAGGACAGTGTCTTTAGCTAATAGTACTGAAAAATTGTATATCCACATGCAAAAGAATGAAGTTGGGCCCTTTCCTTATATCATATATTATGATTAACTCAAAATAAATTAAAGCTGTAAAAGGAAGGCCTACATCTGTGGAGGAGTTTTAAAAGTTCAAAGAAAATGCATATTATGAAGAAATTGCATAGATTTCACAAATGTCTGCACCAAAACTTAGCTTTCATTTTCAACTTTTTGCATGCCATTTTTCAAAGAAAACAACCAACAGAATAAAAAGTCAACCTACAATTTGAAGAAAAAAATTGAAAATCATGTATCTTATTTGAGGTTAATATCTCAAATATGTAATGAACTTTTGCAACTCAACAAGAAGCAGACAAATAATAAACAAAAAGATGATAGACATGAAAAGACACTTATCCAAATGACCAATAAACCCAAAACAAGAGCTCAGCTTCTCTAATCACTCAACTCAAGACCATCATGAGACATCAATTCATACTCTTTATGATGGCAATTATTAAAAAAAAAAAAAAACAAGACATAGCAAGTGTTGGCCAGGATATAGAGAAATTGTGAACAACTCTGTTCTCTGTTGGTAGGAATATAAAATTATGTAATCATTATGGAAAATATAAGAAAAATCCCTCAAAAATTTAGAAGTAGAATTGCCATATGATCCAGCAATCTCACTTCTGGATATATATCCAAAGGAATTAATAATAGGATCTTTGAAGAGATAATATCACACTCACGTTCTTGCAGCATTGTTTACTTAAGCCAAGAGTTGGAAGCAACCCAAATATCCATTAATAGATGGGCAGAATATGTAGCACATACACACTACAGAATACTATGCAACATTAAAAATAAAGGATTCATATCATATAATAGGAATATTAGGCTAATCAAGGATATTAGGCTATATAAACTGTCAATTATTAAAAGACAAATAATGCATGATTCTATCCATATGTAGTGCCTAAAGTAGTCAAAATTTTAGAAATAGGTAGAAATGTGGCTGTTAAGAACTATAGAAAATAGAGAGGGTAAACAAGAATTTAGTGGTTAGTGATTCAGGGGTAAAAGATGAAAAAGTTTTAGAGATCTGTTGTATAACAATGTAAATATTCTTAACACTATTGAACCTTATGGTTAACAATGATTATGGTGGGGGCTAGCATTGTGACACAACAGATTAATCAAAGATCAGAGCATCTGTCTCTGTCTCTCTCATTCTCTCTCCTCCCTCTCTGTAACTGCCTTTCAAATAAATAAATAAATCCTCTTAAAATGATTATGATGGTAAATTTAATGTTATGTGTTTTTTACTGCAATAATCAAGGACTGCAATTTTATTGAAAAAATAGACTGGAAATGTGAACATATATTCTACTGGAAAGTAAATACAAACTACTACAAAAGCAATGAAACAGTGCCCAATTTTTCTCAAAACAAGAAAAATATAAGTTAAAACTATAGTGAAATGCCATTTCCCACTCTCAAATTTGCAGAAATTTACAAGTTTATAACATTGTTGGAGAGACTATGGAGAAATAGGTGTTCATATACATTTTTCTTAGAAACACAAAATAGCATCCAAAAAAAAAAAAAAGAAAAAATAAAAAACGAAACACAAAATAGCAGCACAACGACTATAGATTTGGTGCTATATAACAAAATTGTATATTTACATACTTTTTAAAAAAGATTTATTTATTTATTTTGAAAGAGTGATAGACAGAGAGGGAGAGACACATAGAAAGAAAGATCTTCCATTCATGGCTTCACTTTGTAAATGGCCATAATGGCCAGCACTGGGCCAGGTACAAGCCAGGAGCGAGGAGCTTCATCCGTATCTCCCACATGGATGGCAAGGGCCCAAACACTTGGACCTTATTCTGCTGCTTTTCCCAGGCCATTAGCAGGGAGCTGGATTGGAAGTGAGTAACTAGGACACAAATCCACACCCATATACGATGTCAATGTAGTAAGCTGTGGCTTTGCCCACTATGCCACAATGCCAACCCCATGGACTTACTTTTTGATTTAGCAACCCTGCTTCTAGGAATATATCATAATAATGTACTGGCAAAGAAAAGCTGCAAAGAGAAGTATGCACAAACATATTCTTTAGAATCTACTTAATATATAAAATGTATAGAAAAACTCAGATATCTAACAATGAGACAGGTAAAATTAATGGACACTCTTGGCAGAATAAAGTAATGTACAATTATAAGAAGGAATGAAGAATATTCTTATATACAATTGTAAAGTGATCCCTGGGGAATATTAAATGAGAAAAGCAGATAAGAAAAGTTCAAATAATGTTATTGCTTATATAAGTAGGAAAGAAAACACATACACACAAATATAATTTTAATACCTACCATTATTAAAGAAATGGAAAGATAATCCATAAAATGCAAAGAAACAATGAAAGACAGCAAGAGGCTTGTCTGAAGGATTTAGCCAACAACATATAGAGGAATTCATTGCCCAAATATAAAACAATTTGAGTATTGCTAACTGTCACCAAAATGCTTACATTCATGAATTTAGAAAACCCAACAGATCACTGTTCCAAACTGTTGAAGTTCAATTCATTAATTTGAAAATCTATAGATAAAGGGAAAGAATTAAACATTTATCTTCTTTTCTTACATAAATTATGCATCTGTATAACTAAATAGTTGATGAGAAAGATATTTCTCTTTATGGAATTATTTCGGCTAATAAAAGAGAAAGAAATGTATACTATCACCATGCTAAAACCCCCAGTGGAGTGGTGGATTTGGCAAAATATCATCAGTGGATACTAACACTGAGAAACAAAGATATTACATTTCTTGTTTGAAATATATGGTGCCATCTATGAAAGAAATGTCCAAAAAATTTGAATTTGATTAAGTCTCTAAGCTTATCAGAAAATTTACAGGAAATATAGCAGGTAAAAAAAAATTGTCCAGTGACACCATGCACGTGTTATTAGCAAAATCCAGAGGATGGAAAATTTTCATATTTCTTTAAAAAGTAATAATATAAGTAGAAACAGAGATGAATGGGAAAATATATATAGCCTAAGGTGACATCTGTCTTTTGGAATATATGGGTTTTATTTGGGTTTGATATGAAAAAACTATAAAGAAAAATGAAACAATGAAAACAGTCTGAAGGATTTTAATAATGACCAGATTATTTGACAATGTTAAGAAATTGGCTTTCCAGTTGGATGTTGTGATATAGTGGGCTAAGTTGCTGATTTGAGTCCCTGATGCTCCACTTCCAATTCAGTTTCCTGCTAATGTGCCTAGGAAGGCAGCAGATGAATGCCGAAGTACTTGGGTCCCTGCCACCTGTTTGGTAGACCAGGATGGAGTTCCAGTCTCCTGGCTTTGTCCTTGCCTAGCCTCAGCTGTTGTGGTTATTGTTTGGGGAGTGAGCCAACAGATGGAAGATCTCTCTAACTCTAACTCTAACTCTAACTCTAACTCTAACTCTAACTCTAACTTCCAAGTAAATAAAATAAATCTTAAAAAACTGAAAATATGGGGCTGATGCTGTGGCGCAATAGGTTAATCCTCTACCTGTAGCGCCGGCATCCCAAATGGGTGCCAGTTCTAGTTCAGGTGGCTCCTGTTCTGATCCAGCTCTCTGCTGTGGCCTGGGATAGCAGTAGAAGATGCCCCAAGTCCTTGGGCCCCTGCACCTGCGTGGGAGACTTGGAGGAAGCTCCTGGCTCCTGGCTCCTGGCTCCTGGCTCCTGGCTTCGGATTGGTGCAGCTCAGGCTGTTGCAGCCATCTGGGGAGTGAACCAACAGATAGGAAGACCTTTCTCTGTCAGTCCCTCTCACTATCTGTGATTCTACCTCTCAAATAAATAAAATCTTTAAAAAATACATATAAAATATACAAATTAGATGCTATAATATTTAGTTTTTCTTCAAAATTACCACAGTGGGATAGGGATAAAAGTGAGTGAGGCTGAGTTCAAAATTGAGGAAAATGAGCACTGTAGAGGTCATACTCCTGTATGATTTTTTTTTCTATTTTGATTTACTCTTGAAATATTCCACTTTAAAAACCTTTCAACAAAGGGAAAATTAAAGAAGACATACATTATAGATATTCTTGTAGACTCTATCAGGCATAATAATTGCCAGAATATTCAAATTGCATGGGTTGAAAGAGAAGTTAGAGGAAATAAAAGGAAGGAGATCTGTCAAGACCACAACAAAATCCGAAAAGATTAATGCAAAGTATGATTTACTTACATTTTTTGGGTTGATAAATCAGATTACAGTACATCATATGAAGAGTTATCAGAGCCATCAGCACAGACACAAAAGGAATAAGTAAAACAAGGGCTGAGGCCCCAGCGTGCTGGATGCAAGATATTCCCAGAAAGACAACAGTCGCGTTTAGGTTCCTGAGCCAATAAAACCTGAGCATACAAACAGACAAAAATAAAAACACCATTGCATTATTTTAGATGATAAGAGCTAATTTCATTGCTTTTATTCCAATGCAAGCAATGAAATGGTGACATGTTAGCTAAACCAGATTTTGCAAATATTATTTATTGTATTTCTGAAGTGGATACATCAGCCATGTCTTAGTAATTTCATTATGCTTGTTTCATTCTTATTTATTGAAAAATTGTGTCTAAATCAAGTGGATACAATTGTAGGCCCTTAACCTACTATTCTGTTGCTTTTTATTGAGATAAAATTAAATAAAAAAATGCTAGTTACAATGCCTACATGGGTTCAAATCCTGGTTCCACCTCTGGTTCCAGCATCCTACTACTGCGCATGCTGTGAGGCCCAAGTGATGGCTTAAGTAATTGAGTTCCTGTTACCTATGTGGAAGCCCTAGATTGAGTTCCTGGCCTTCAGCTTCAGCCCAGCCTAACTAGGTCCACTGTAGCCCCATTTGGGGAATGAACCAGTGAATGCGAATTCTCTCTCCATCTCTGATTCTCTCTGTCCCTCTGTGTTGCTCTCTGTGTCTGCCTCTCAAATAAAAAAAGAATTTAAGTAAAGGCTTGACACAATTTTTTCCATAAAGGATCCCATAGTGTATCCTTTAGGCTTTGCAGGCCATACTATTGCTGCAGAAACTACACAGTTCTATGTTGTGGTGCTAAAAGAAGCCATAGATAATAGCTAATCAATTAAATATTCCTAATGAACCTGGAAAAGGTTAAATGGTTAAGAAGGAGAATCAAGCAAACTAGGTATAGAAGGAACATTCCTCAATACAATCAAAACAATTTATAAAAAACCCACGGCCAGCATCCTATTGAATGGGGAAAAGTTGGAATCATTTCCACTGAGATCTGGTACCAGACAGGAATGCCCACTCTCACCACTGCTATTCAATATAGTTCTGGAAGTTTTAGCCAGAGCTATTAGGCAAGAAAAAGAAATTAAAGGGATACAAATTGGGAAGGAAGAACTCAAACTATCCCTCTTTGCAGATGATATGATTCTTTATTTAGGGGATCCAAAGAACTCTACTAAGAGACTATTGGAACTCATAGAAGAGTTTGGCAAAGTAGCAGGCTATAAAATCAATGCACAAAAATCAACAGCCTTTGTATACACAAGCAATGCCACGGCTGAGAAAGAACTGCTAAGATCAATCCCATTCACAATAGCTTCAATGAGATACCAATCAAAATACCAAAGACATTCTTCTCAGATCTGGAAAAAAATTATGCTGAAATTCATATGGAGACACAGGAGACCTCGAATAGCTAAAGCAATCTTATACAACAAAAACAAAGCCGGAGGATCGCAATACCAGATTTCAGGACATACTACAGGGCAGTTGCTAGCAAAACAGCATGGTACTGTTACAGAAACAGATGGATAGGCCAATGGAACAGAATTGAAACACCAGAAATCAATCCAAACATCTACAGCCAACTGATATTTGATCAAGGATCCAAAACCAATCCCTGAAGGAAGGACAGTCTATTCAATAAATGGTGCTGGGAAAACTGGATTTCCACATGCAGAATCATGAAGCAAGACCCCTACCTTTCACCTTACACAAAAATCCACTCAACATGGATTAAAGACCTGAATCTACCACCCGACACCATGAAATTATTAGAGCACATCGGAGAAACCCTGCAACATATAGGTACCAGCAAAGACTTCTTGGAAAAGACTCCGGAAGCACAGGCAGTCAAAGCCAAAATTAACTTTTGGGATTGCATCAAATTGAGAAGTTTCTGAACTGCAAAAGAAACAGTCAGGAGAGTGAAGAGGCAACTGACAGAATGGGAAAAAATATTTGCAAACTATGCAACAGATAAAGGGTTGATAACCAGAATCTACAAAGAGATCAAGAAACTCCACAACATCAAAACAACAACCCACTTAAGAGATGGGCCAAGGACCTCAATAGACATTTTTCAAAAAGGAAATCCAAATAGCCAACAAACACATGAAAAAAATGTTCAAGATCACTAGCAATCAGGGAAATGCAAATCAAAACCACAATGAGGTTTCACCTCACCCGGGTTAGAATGGCTCACATTCAGAAATCTACCAACAACAGATGCTGGCGAGGATGTGGGGAAAAAGGGACACTAACCCACTGTTGGTGGGAATGCAAACTGGTAAAGCCACTATGTAAGTCAGTCGAGATTCCTCAGAAGCCTGAATATAACCCTACCATACAACTCAGCCATCCCACTCCTTGGAATTTACCCAAAGGAAATTAAGTTGGCAAACACAAAAGCTGTCAGCACATTAATGTTTATTGCAGCTCAATTCACAATAGCTAAGACCTGGAACCAACCCAAATGCCCATCAACAGTAGACTGGATAAAGAAAGTATGGGACATGTACTCTGTAGAATACTATACAGCAGTCAAAAACAATGAAATCCGGTCATTTGCCAACTAAAAGAGCACCAAAGGGGAAACCTGTTAAAGTGAAGTGGACACTATGAGAAACAGTGACTTGATCAGCTCTTCTCCTGACTGTTGATGTACAATGTAATACTTTATCCACTTTAGTATTTTTTTTGTTCTAGTACTATTGGTTGAACTCTGTAATTAACACACAATTATTCTTAGGTGTTTAAATTTTAACTGAAAAGTGATCCCTGTTAGGGATCTGGAAAACATTATGCTGAGTGAAAGAAGCCAGTCCCAAAGGGACAAATATCATATGTTCTCCCTGATATGTGACAACTAACCAAGCACATGAAAAGGAAACCTGTTAAAGTGAAATGAACACTATGAGAAACGGTGACTTGATCAGGCTTTGCTCTGACTGTTGATGAACAACTTAATACGTTATCCCTCTTAGTATTTTTTTGTTTGTTCTACTTAATACTTTTGGTTGAATACTGTAATCAATACACAATTCTTCTTAAGTGCTGAAACTTAACTGAAAAATGATCCCTGTTAAATATAAGAGTGGGAATAAGAGAGGGAAGAGATGTGCAATTCAGGACATGCTCAAGCAGACTTACCTCAAACGGTAGAGTTAGAAACATACCAGGGGATTCCAATTCAATCCCATCAAGGTGGCATGTACCAATGCCATCTCACTAGTCCCAGTGATCAATTCCTGTTCACAATTGATCATAATGATAGGACTAAGAACCAAAGGGATCACATAAACAAAAATAGTGTCTTCAAATACTAACCGATCAAATAAAAAAGGGAGAGAATGATTCAACGTGGGAAGCGAGATACACAGCAGACCCATAGAATGGCAGATGTCCTAAACAGCACTCTGGTCTCAGAATCAGCCCTTAAGGCATGCAGATCTGGCTGAAAAGCCCATGAGGTGTATTTCAGGCATGGAAAGCCAAGACACTCTGGCAAAAAAAAAAAAAAAAAAAAAAAAAAAAAAAAAAACAAACCTAAATGAAAGATCTCTGCGAGTGAGATCCCAGTGGAAAGAACAGGTCATCAAAGAAGGAGGTACCTTTCTCTGAAGGGAGGAGAGAACTTCCACTTTGACTACGACCTTGTCTAAATATGATCAGAGTCAGTGAACTCAAAAGGCTTCCATAGCCTTGGCAACTCATGACAAGAGCCTAGGGTGATGCCATAAACAAGAGTGTCAGTTTGTTAAGTCAACAACAGGAGTCACTGTGCACTTACTCCTCATATAGGATCTTTACCCTTAGTGTGCTGTACATTGAGATTTAATGCTATAACTAGTACTCAAACAGTATTTTTCACTTTATGTTTCTATGTGGGTGCAAACTGTTGAAATCTTTACTTAATGTATGCTAAACTGATCTTCTGTATATAAAGAGAATTGAAAATGAATCTTGATGTGAATGGAAGGGGAGAGGGAGTGGGAAAGGGGAGGGTTGCAGGTGGGAGGGACGTTATGGGGGGGAAGCCATTGTAATCCATAAACTGTACTTTGGAAATTTATATTCATTAAATAAAAGTTTAAAAAAAAAAGAAATAAGGTGATTGGCAACAAAACAGAGGAATCTGGAAAACATCATTCTGAGTGAAATAAGCCAGTCCCAGAGGGACAAATTTCATATGTTCTCCCTGATCGGTGACAACTAACCAACCACAAAAAAGGAAACCTGTTGAAGAGAAATGGACACTATGAGAAACAGTGGTTTGATCAGCCCTTGTCCTGACTGTTGAAGTACAACTTAATACTTTATCTCTTTTAGTATTTTTTTTCTTCTAGTACTATTGGTTGAACTCTGTAATTAACACACAATTATTCTTAGGTGTTGAAATTTAACTGAAAAGTGATTGCTGTTAAATATAAGAGTGGGAATAAGAGAGGGAGGAGATGTACAGTTCAGCACATGCTCACTCCAGCTTACCCCTAATGGTAGAGCTAGAAATGTGCCCGGGGATTCCAATTCAATCCCATCAAGGTGGCATGTACCAATGCTATCTCACTAGTCCAAGTGATCAATTTCTGTTCACAATTGATCTTACTGCTAGGTCTAAGAATCAAAGAGATCACACAAACAAGATTAGTGTCTGTGAATACTAACTGATAGAATACAAAAGGGAGAGAACAATCCAACATGGGAAGCAGGATACACAGCAGACTCATAGAATGGCAGATGTCTTAAATAGCACTCTGGCCTCAGAATCAGCCCTTAAGGCATTCGGATTTGGCTGAAGAGCCCGTGAGAGTATTTCAGGCATGGAAAGCCAAGATACTTTGGCAAAAAAAAAAAAACCTAAATGAAAGATCTCTGCGAATGAGATCCCAGTAGAAAGAACAGGCCATCAAAGAAGGAGGTACCTTTCACTGAAGGGAGGAGAGAACATCCACTTGACTATGACCTTGTCTGAATAAGATTGAAGTTGGCGAACTCAAAAGGCTTGCATAGCCTTGGCAACTCATGACAAGAGCCTAGGGAGATTACTGATGCCATAAATAAGAGTGTCAATTTGTAAGTCAACAACAGGAGTCACTG